GCGGCGGCGGCGGGAAGAGGCCGACGCGCTGGCCGAGCTCCGCCTGCTGCACCATCTCGCGGTCGTACTTGACGATCTCCTGGATGATGGCGTTCTCCTGGTTGTTGAACACACCTGAGTTGAGGTCGTGCTGCACCTTGTGTAGCAGGATCGAGTTCTTCTTGCCTGGGGGGGAGGGGGGGTCAGTGCCTGGGCGGAGCAGGGGCCTCCGGCTGCTGCCCGTGTGGACGCCCACAGGGCGGGGGGCACAGCGGGCCCAGCGGGAAGCCGCCCGCACCTACTGCTGCTCGCGCTACATAGCAGCAGGTGCCGGTGCTGCGAGCCGCGGAGGCCGCAGCTGCCCTGTGCAGGAGCCCTGACCTGTCCTGCGGGCTGCTGAGCGCCGCGGGCAGCACCCCACGGGCAGCACCCCGGGCAGCGGCGCCCAGCACACACAGCGAGACTCCGGCGCCCCGCGCAGGTGTCTGAGCCGCCGCTGAGCAGCAAACTCGGGGCCACGGACGCCCGGAGCCCTCCCGCAACGGGACGCCTCCTCGGCCCTGCCCTCACCCAGACCTGCTTTTCCAGTCGTTTTATTCCCACCAGTTGCGCCAAGGGCCGTGGGCTCCGCCTTTCAGCCCCTCCTGGGACCCGCCTCCCCAAGTCAGCGCCCCTGCTCCGAGGCCTGACCGTGCCCCCCACCCCCAGCCCGCCGACCCGTCCTGATGGCTGGTCTGAACTCCCCGCAGCCCCCACTGGCCTGGTCCCTGCTGCCGCCCCAGCCCCCTCCCATGAGCTGGCTTTCAGCTCCGCCGCTCCAGCTCAGGGCCTCCGAGCCCCACATGCCCGTCTGGAACCCGCCTTCCTCCTCTGCCTGGGCTCCTTTCAGCTCCCTCCCGGGGAGCCCCACCGCCCCACGTCCCTCTGTGACTCGAGCTTCCCCCCGGCCAGCCGCTGCCCGCTCACTGTAGTGCTCAGAGGAGCTGGCCCTGCACAGCCGGACACGCCCGCGCTCTGCCCGGGGAGCGGGGCTGCGTCCGGCCCGGGGGGAGGTGGGAGGTCGGAGGACCGGCCGGGACGGCAACCGGCCCGCTCACCAATGCGGTCCAGGCGGTCGATGGCGACTGTCTCGAAGGCCCGTCGCATCATGGGGTACTCCTCCAGCACCTCGTTGAAGTTGTCCACGCTCAGAGAGTAGAGGCGGCAGTAGGTGTCGGCCCGCACACTGGCCGTGCGCCGGCCCCGCGTCAGCAGGCAAATCTCTGCGGGCGAAGGACCCTCAGGGCCGGCCTGCGGCACCCCGCCCCGCCCCGCCAGCTTGCCCTGCGGTGAGGCCCTGTCCCGGGACACCTCCCCGCCCGCCCACCACGGCTGCTCCTGCACCTCAGGATCCTACATGGGGCGCCGAGCTCCCGCTCCCTTTGCTCCCAGGCAGAGTTCGGCCGTCCCCAGCCCCCACCTCGCCGCATCCCCAAAGGTGCTCACCCCCAAAGTAGGAGCCGTCGGACAACTTCATCTCCTTGTTACCCTTCGTGAGCACGCTGACCACGCCGTGCTGGATGAAGTACATCTTCTTGCCAATGGTGCCCTCGCGGATGATGTAGTCCCCCGGCTGGAAGACCTCGAACTTGAGCTTGGTCAGCATGGCCGTGACAAAGTTGGGGTCAGCATTGGCAAACAGCGGCATGGAGGCCACCAGCTTCCGGCAGTTGAAGTTGACGATTTCCTGCAGGGACAGGGGACAAGGGTGAGGTCGGGTCGGGTCTGGCTCGTTTCCATCCCCCTGCCTTTGGGGCCGAGGGACGATGCGCTGGGTGAGAAGACTCCCTGGCCCCCAGCACACGGAGCGGAGGGAATGGCTTGGCGTGAATTTAGCAAGCAGTGGCCACGCCCAAATAAAGCAAGCTCAGAACACCCCTAGAAAGGCACAAAAGGGGGCATGTACCCCCCGTTCCTGGCGGGCCCCTCAGCGGGCTTGCACACTGGCATGAGCCCGAAGAAACCCCAGCAGGCCTGCCCGCTCCTGAAGGGGCTGGCCACGCTCCTTCAGATAAAGGCCCTGACCGCAGGGGCCCGTGGGAGAGAGGGCCCGCTGGGGTGCCGAGCACGGCAGGACCCTCGGGGTGCCAAGAGGCTGGGCGCCCGGAGCAGACAGCCTGAGGCGCAGACCACGTCCACGAAGAGGACCACACACAACACGTGGCGGCACCTTGGGGCCTGGGCCACTCGGGTCTGAATCCCGCCCACCCCGATGCCGAGGGGGAGGCTGCGTCTCGGCCTGAGAGCCGCGCTCCTGGTGCTGCGGGCCGCGTGGCCACGCCCCCTCAGGCCAGGCGTGCACAGGAGCGCGCGTGGCCTGCTGCGGACAGCCCGCACCGCGTGCCTGCCACACAGCGCCCCACGGGACACCTGCTCGGACCCTGGTGCCGGGGCCAGGCTCGTGGCGGGAGCAGGCGTGCGC